GTCCTCATCAAGTACCCTTCACCAGGAAGGAGCTCCTGGCCAGCCTCGGTCAGTGCTCTGTCCTTGCAGAGCTGCAGAACAGCAGCTGTACACCTTGGCAGCGTTAGCAGGAACAAGGCTGGAGACACTGCATTCATGACTGTATGACTGGATTTTTCCCCTTCCCTCTATCAGTTGGGTTCATTTTCTGAACGATCACATCTGTTTATGTTCCACAGACACCTGCATATCTTGAGATGACAGCAACTCCCTGAATGCTGTAATCAGTTATTTCTCAACAGAGGAATTGCCAATTTGGTAAATAAAGCTCATTATAAAAGAACATGGAAATGTATTACAGTTGCCTAACGGAGAAAATTGTCCAGTGCAGCTACATAATCAGCCCTGGCATCATAACTCCCCCAAATGCATGTCATGCGAATCGCACGTGCCCAGACAAGCGTGGGCAGGGGCAGAAGAGGAAGAGAGAGGGGAAGAGGAACTCTGTCCTCTCTAGGCCAACAAGAAATAGAAAGGATGTCGGAAGCTGGGCGACACTGTGCTCAACATACCTGCTACCAGGCAAAGCAGGAGAAATCCCAAGCAGCAAAAAAAGAAAACAAAAAAAAAGCCCTCAACATCTCAACATTGCCAGCAATGAGCCAAGGACAGAGTGCTTGCTCTTCAGAAGTTTCTCCTTCTTCTTGGGAGCAGGTCAGACCTGCACAGTGCAGAAAATGTAGGATCAAAGGGAGATGTGTAATACTGACAGGAATGAGCCAACTTGGGGTATGCTATGATGACCAGGGCTGTGAAGCTGTCCTTCTTGTTTACCAGCAATTGGGAAAGGCAAAGTCACCGAGCTGAGCCACATACATAGAACTTATAAAAAACACCTCCCCTCCTACAGGAGGTTTCCTTACCACCCTTTGCAAAAGGGACAGGCACAGCTGAATCATGCCAACTGAGCTGTCATCTTCACTAGTGACTCAGTAGCTGGTGCTCATTACTACTGAACTAAAACCCACAGGTAGTGCAAGGGGTTCTGCAATCCAACAGCCCCACGTTGCAAGGCCACTGAAGGCACGGTCTCTCCTTCAGGAGTCTTAGTGGTGCTGGGCTCTCTTAACTTAATTCCAACTCCGTGCTCCTTTCATTCTGGCCCCAATATTCCCCTTGTGGTTTCGGTTGGAGATGCTATTCCTCATTCCCTATCCCAGGTTAAGATGCAGCACTGCCAATGTGGCAAACCATGGACTAGGTCCTAGCAGACAAGTGGCTGTGGGTCAGAGCTGGGAGAACTGCTGTGTACACAAGCACAAAGTGCGTAGGATAACAGAGACGCCCACTCACAGACCATGGCTAGACACTGCCGACGTTTACGAGACTACCATGCTCAGTTCAGCTTCTCCGTCTTCCCCAAAAGGGCAGCCAGATGCCTCAAGATGAGAGGTGTAAAACGCTCCCATCTCCACCCCTTGAAGCTCTACCTACCCAGATGGTTGCAGAGGTACCCATGGCAAATCCTACCTGAGCATCCGAGAATTCCACTACTCCAAAGCACTAAACTCCTCACAGAAGGGAGCATGAGGGCAAGGCAGGGTGTGACCTACGGGCCAGTTCTCAGACTTTCACTTCTGGCCTGTTTTCAGAAAGTTTCTATTTAACTCTACTGTAAATTGAAAAAAAACAGCCTGGTTCCATGCAAGCCCATTAAATGAACCACAGTCAGGAAAGACACCAGGGTCATATGGTGTGTGCGGGCCGGGCGAGCCCCGGGCCCTTTTTCGCGCTGCACGCAGGCTGTGGCCGGCAGCCCGGGCATGCGGGGCGGAGAGGGGAGGCTTTCGCTCTGGAATTAGGCACGGACGCGTATTAGTAGTTTAAAAGATTGTTTACTTACACCGAGATGGCAATGGTGTAGGCTGGAAAGCTTGCTTCAGTTGCAGTTACAGATAGAAAAAGATAGAGGCGGACAAGAGTTCTAGACTCGTGAACTCTAGCCCAATCCGGCTGAAGGCTCTGTACTCGCGAGCCCGTCGCGTCAGCCGAAGAAAATACTCGTAGAGAAGATAGAGAAGAGCTCTGGATGAACTCACACGAAGTTTGCTAGGCTCCGTGGGTCCAGTTCGTAGCGCGTGGGAAGGGATACGTCTGGGTTGCGCTCGGCGACGGGGAGAGGCTAGAGATTGATCAGATCTCCGTAGCCTGCTTCAAATGCACTGGGTCCGTAAGGATCCGCAGCGCTTAGAGATCTTCACACAGCGTGAAGTCTCCTCCTCCCGGTGTTCGTGGAGTCCTCCCTTGCGGGGGTTCTCCTCGGAGTTCTCCAACTTGGGCAGAAACCACCCAAGCCTCTTGTACGGCTAGCAAGCCAATCGCTAGCCGCCACGTGTGAATAATTTAGAACTGGCCAATAATGGGACCCAAATCTACATACAAATGGCGGGAACTCTTTGCAACGAACACCTCTGTGCTGCAACAAAGAAATGGACCCTGCAAAGAAAGCTTCGAATTGGTGGGAAAGTTCTCCCTTGCACCGGGGTTCTCTTTTGCAGCAGAAAACTCCACCGTGCAAGGAAGCTTGCAATTTAGCGGTGACAATTTAGTAGTGCCGAAGCACACACAAATAAAAATCACACCTTTTGGGTTGTGACATGGTGCATGAGAGAAAGATAGCTAAAGAGAGAGACCATTTCAGCTAGGAGCTGGAGAAGGCTTATGTGAAGGGGCTTATCCTCATTCTTGGGGAAGGTGGCTGTTTTGTGAAGTGGAAGGCCTGGCCTCCTTATCCATTAGCCTCAAATGGTGCATGAGAGTAGGACAGCTAAAAAGAGAGACTGTTTCAGCTAGGAGCTGGAGGGGGCTTATGTTAAGAGCCATCCAACTGAACTCACTGGGTTACAGAAATATCTTCCAAATGATGCTGTTTTGGATGCAAGAGTAGCATGGCTCCTCACTCCACAGAGAGGGCACAATGGAACAAAGCTGGGGGGGGCAAGGACAGTTCACAGCAAGGGAAGGGACACTGCAGGGGAGGACGATTGAGATTCTGCACCGGGCAAGGGAAGTTGTTTTGCAGCATGATTCACCAGGGCTAGTTCTTTTTCAGCTAGGACTTTGTGCCCTTCCATGTCCTTTCAAATATACCCAAGTCATTCAGCCCTTGGATGGAGATAAACGAGGAGAACTCTAATTTATGAACTGCGACTGGAAGTTTCTCTATTCCTGACACTTCTTAGGAGTCGCCAGCTTCCCGCTGCTGACAGGGGCAGGAGGGGGAAACAGGAGTTCTTGGACTCGCAGGAGAAAGCATCTCATGCCACACACAGGGACCATTAAACACTTTATTGTTCTTTGGAGGGAGCCTTGCAAGGGAAGGAATGTGCCTGCTGGTGTTACAAACAGAAGCACACTAGGAACAGTTAATCCTAACAAGCAGGTCAGGGTTACTTCCCTGAATATTTCAGATTCCTTTCTCTGGAGCACAAGGACAAAGGCAACAGCTCGTGAAAGACTGGGTGAGCAAAACCAAAGCTAGTACAAGGGCGATGGGCCTTGTGTTAGATGGCTTCTATGTGACAAACCAGACTGTGCCCACTTGTGTTCATGGGCATCCTGTTCGCAATGATGGAATTTAAAAAGATGAAGCACATTTCCCAGATCAATGCTGCTCTCCCCAAGCCCTCCCTCCCCCACCTTCAAACACATCCATTGAGACCATTACATGCAGGCATTTAGAAGAGGAATCATGTCATTTTCCTGACTGCTATAGACAGAAGGCACCAAGTTTGGTCTGTGTATATCCAAGAAGGACACTGGGCTTCTGAGGGCTTCTGTGGTCCCTGTGCTCTGCTCTTTCGCAGCTGCCAGAATTTATCCGTAATTCACTAGAAGTTCCTGGGGAAGAAGGAGACAAAAGGGGAAGAGGTTGCTGGTTAGTTATATAGCTGCTGGCACCACACACTTCCCGTTCTGAAATGATGTGTAACATGAGCTGAGAGAGAGATAACAGGAGAAATGGACCATCCCTCAGAGGTTCATCTGATGTTACTGGCTGCAAATCACAATGAGATGCATCATGAATGGATGCATACCAAAAGCATGGTGGGAGGCAACGGTCATTCCAATACTCAAACCAGGTAAGCCGATGGACGACCCAGGAAGCTATAGGCCAATATCCTTTGCACAGTCTACAAACTCTTAGAACGTATGATCCTCAGGAGAATCAGCCCTTTTATCAAGCCAGTGATCCTCAATGAATAAGTGGGATCCTGGTCTAAGTGAAGTTGCTGCAACCAAGTTTTGGCCCCCGCAATATAGAATCGAGGCTGGTTTTCAGAAAAAATCCAAGACCGGTGCAACTTCTGGAGACCGGTCATCAGCCTATGACATGGTCTTAATTAAAGGTCTGATACTGAACCTCACAAACATTATACCCTGCCACCAAACACTACACCCAATATGGACAATGCTGAGTAATAGGCGGCCACGTGTCCACCTCGTTGAGTCAGCTCGCCCCGATTCCTGAGCAATGGACTGCCACAAGGCTCAGTACTTACACCAACACTTTTTAAATGTATACACATCTTGAATGAGGACCTGAATATCATAGAGGAATATTTTCAGAAATGGAGACAAGTCAAATCCCCACAAAACAGTCACTGCATTCCATCTTGATAACAGAAATGCTAAGCATACCCCAAAGGTAACTTTTTGCGGCAAACACTGTGCAGCACAGCCCCACTCTGTCTTATCTCAGAGCGGAGTGGGACTGTACATTAACCTTCTGTGACCACCTAAAGAAAGCTGCCAAGATGATAAGGGTCAATTTGGTCCAGAAACTGGCATGCATAAGTTGCGGAGCATCAGCATCAGTATTATGGACAACAGTGCTGGCACTTGCATACTCCATAGCCCAGTACTGAGCACCAGTATGGACCAGAAGCAGTCATACTCTACTTGTTGACATCCAAATATACTCTGCAATGCAGTGCATCGCTGGGGCCCTCAAGTCAACCCCAACACGATGGCTGCCGCGCATGACAACTCCACTTAATCACTGTGAGGCAGCATTTCTACGGGAAGTCCAGCGAATTAAGGAAAACGAACGTCTCCCCATCCACCAGGACCGCAACAATGCCCCTCACCATTGCCTAAAGTTGCACAAACCCTTTTGGATCCACGCGCTTAACCTTCAACGATATGACTTCAACCCTGATGAAGCTTGGAAAACCAAATGAAGCTCACAGGAAGTCCCAATTAAACATCTTGTGATCGATCCAATGAAGAAGGGTCTTGGTTTTGATCTCCTGCAATGCTCCTGGGGAACTCTAAACCATATCCACACAAACCATGGGAGATGCAGATTAGGGGTGCAGCGATAGAGATTTTTTTGGCTGATACTGATGGCTGATTTTTAATGAGCCGTATCGGCTGATACTGATCTGATTCTGATATGCAGCCTGACAGCTTGGAGAGCAACATCAGGCTGGTAAGTGGGGGGAGGCAGATCAAGTCCCCCACGGTGAGCTGGGCTGGGGTTGCCCAGCCAGGGCAGGGTACAGGACACAGCTGCAAGCAGACTGTCTGGGGGGCATATGCCCCTGGATCCGTGTGCAGGGCAAGGGTGGGCTGCCATTGCGGGCTCGGACTGGGGTGGCACCAGGCTCTTCCTGGCAAGGGCTGGGCCAGGCTGCGCTCGAGGAA